GGTAGGGGCCGGGGCCTGGGGGGCAGGCGAGAGGAGGGGGTGTCGTGTGCCCGCGCCTTTCCCCTTCCACCCGGTCACTGGAGAAGTAGCTCGGCCATGGCCAACGGGCGATGGCTTAGTGTAGTGAATAAACTGACTAACACCTCGCTTCAGCTGTCACCTTGCGCTTCTCCCTGTCGTCCGAGTTTCAGGGGAGAGGAAAGCTGCTCATGGTTAAAGGGGCAGGTCCTCTGTGTCCTGTCTGCCCTACTCCCTATGACCAAAAGTGACTGGAGTGGGTGAAATTGTTTGGAAGTGACTGGATTCCAAAAATGGTTAATTCCTCTGCATTCCCCGGGCTTTTTATATTTGACGTTTGCTCCTGTGGAAAGCCGAGTGTCATTGAGCGAGGAGAATCTCGTCAGTCGGTTGCGTGTCTGGTGAGGGAAAGTTGGAGTGAGCTTGGCAACCTCCAGCCGTAATTGCACTGGATTCTAAACTAAGCTGAACTGTGTAAAACGCATCAGGCAAGCGGACTGGCTAATGTACGAGGCATTAGTGCTCTACAGATTATCCCAGGAAATGCCTTGGGAAATTCTTGACTCAATGAATGAGATAGCTACAGAATTGTATATATTGGGTAAAGCCAAAATGTTTGTCAGCCTTTTTAATTTAAGAGAGAGAGTATACCATCTGAAGAAGGCCTTTTTGTTATGTTCATGCAGGAAGAACCTCCAGTCCCTCAAGATTAAGAGCCAAGAGAGAGAGAGGGAGATGAGGAGAGCACTGCCAGGGGAAAAAATACAGAGAGAGCAAGAAAGAGAGACTGACTGATCCTACCTGGACAGAATTAATTGACAGGTGGTTGTACATTGTTCGTGTTCGCCCCGCCAAACCCTTCATATACTCATTACTTTCTCTGATTGTCTCACAGAAATCTAAGGGACAGCTGTTTATATGAGCTCGTATCTTTAAGGTCAGAATGTTACTCTCAAGCTTTTCTTCATGTGGAAATAAGTCAAGGATAGAGATTAGAGTAGAAAGGCCATAAGAAAATTTCAAAAATTTCCTCCCATTAAATGAGGAAGTTGAGGCAGGCAACCAGGAACTGTCCACTCCGAAATGAAAAATAACGCTCAAACTTTATCTCTTATTTCATCCAAAAGTGTGTGGATGAACCTATAATCTTATCTCAGAATATTCCCTCTTGATTGTTGTGAAAGGAGGACTTTCTTATTGTGAAATCCCTGTAGCCTCAGTGAACTATGATTCTGAAAATGAGTTGTTCAGCGTTACCATAAGATACACTGGAGCCCAAATAGAAAAACTCGAACTTCCTTAGATTTTTTAAAATATTAAAATCTAGATCCAAATTTTGTAGTTTGGACCCATCTCTAAATCTTAAGGAATCTCTAGCAAGCATCTTATTGCCCCAGAAATACAGCACAATCATGGGGGCCAAATTTGGTCCATAATTTTAGCATATTCTTCACATCTAGGTCCAGCTTCTCATCATAGCATATATACCTAGCTCTGTTGATCCTTCTGGAGCTAATACCGATTTAAACTCATATAGCCAATGTCAATTTGACACTTAGCTTTGTTCTAGTAGGCAAGAGATAACTGACTTGTTGAAACTGTTTTAGTGGATTTTATTTACCTGTTATCTTTTGGGTGTGTTAAAGAATGTGAGCTGTGCTAAAGCTAGTAGCCCAATCCCAGGAGTGCCTGGATGTTTTTTATCGTGGATTCTTTGGTCACTCTCTTATTGTGAATCCTGGAACCACATGCTTCTTACTTCCTCTTGAATTTGGAGTCCTTTTCACTTTCACTGAACATTCATTGCAGATTATGTTTGCAACTCTGAAGCTTATGTCTGAACTTAAAACTTATGTTAGTATAGCTGTATGTAAGACTGTAAAAAATTTTTAAAGTAGTCAATCAATGTGGAAAGTATGGTTTTAGTCTAAGGCAAGCCACAAAAAAATGTAAAATTGACATAATAAAAGGAGTGAATTTCTCTCTTGATAAGACCGTCTGCCTAGAATCTCTTTAAAATATTATCCCCAGCACACAGAATAAGAATTTTTTTTTTTTTTTGCATTTAAAGTTACATACATAGAAAATGGAATCTTAATAGCCTGTGCTGAAGCTGTAATTCAGGGATAATAGAACCGACAGCGTACATCGGAACAGTGTTACTGAGATGCGTTGTGTTAAAACAGTTTACACCAGATTGCTTATCTGGTATGTTTTAGTCACACTGAAGGAAAGCTTTAAAAAGATACAGCATATCTTTTGCTAAAAGTAGAAAATATATGAACATACAAATATAAATATATAAAACATGAACTTCAGTGAACAGCACTGAAGATAGAGAGCGTCTATTATTATTATTTTACAACTTAACACAGCTCTAAAAAGTTTTTATGAAGCACAGAATTCTTTTGGTTTGTTTTGGGTGGGATTCATTTTGCCTACCTTCTGAGTTTGTTGGTTAGGTCCTTCCTGTACAAAAAAAAGAGAGACAGAGGCCTTTTCGGAAGTCTATTGATCTCATTTATTTTAGGACAGATGAAACCCCTCCTAGAGGTGCTCTCTGCCCCTAGGAGGAAACAGGTGACGAGTTTAGTTTGAGTGGCTGAAGTTGAATGAGAGGGATCACACATTTATCACTTCCTGTGGCATATTTTCTGTTGGTGTTTCTTGTGCTATCAGTAATGGTTAGCTCCCGAAGGAAATAGGTACACCTATTGGAGGGGGGGAGATTTGTGTGCAGGGCATAACCCTTCCCCTGCGGCATGGAATCCAGCAGATGATTGTTCAGCAAATCTATCATCTCTGTGAAAGGGGCACTTTATGTAAATTGCGATACAAAAATGTTTCTTTTTCCAAAATATATTGGTGTATGTGTGCTTGACCAGGGTATCCTGCTTACCAGTGTTCTCTGTTTGCAGGCGGGTTCCCCATGCCAACCACATCTGCAGGCTGCCTGCATACAAAAAGCAGATCGGATGTTTTTGTCTTTGAAGTTCTTGCATCGAATGCAGGCCTGTTTGCCTACCAAAAAAAACGTGTGGAAAATTGCAAATGTTTGATTAATAGCTAGCATATTGAACTAAGTCCTAACTACTGAATAAGCAGAGATATTTGCAGTTGAATTTCTTCTGAATCATAATGTTGGCAAAGCACATTTGTTTACCACTAGTCAGATTTTGGTGTTGGCAAAAGGTAGTCCAATTTGCTGAGAAGACTGTAATCTAAAGGAATTAACTGTAGTGACAGGATTTTCTTACAGGACTTGCATATAAGGTTGTACTACTGTTATACCAGGGAAAAAGTAAAGCCAGTCAATCATTTTTAAGCTTTTTCCCTAGTAGGAAAAATCAGTTTTTTTTAAGAAATAGAATTTATCATCAAGTATAAAGCAAAAAATACTCCTCCACTCTGCTCCTGAAACCTGAAACGTTTACTGTCCTTCAAAGTTCCGATTGGTTTGCTTTGTCTGTGAAGGAATAAAGAGAAAAAAAAAACAGTATTCCCTATCACTTCTTCATGTACTTGCTTTGTCTGCAGTGGATCAAAGGTAACCTTAGATATAGGCACCTAATCTCTGCTTCAGCAAAGTATTTCTCGTCAGTGAATCATCAGAGCATGAATTCAAATTCGAGTGCGTAGTAGAATTTCTTGCTTTCATTAGAACTCAGAACATTATTGCAGATTTGCATTTTCAAATATTTTGCTCAGCAGAGGAGAGAATACGTATTATGTTTATACATTTACATACCGGGACCTTTGATCCCATGAAGTGAATGAAAGCTGCTAGTTTGCATCTGTGAGCAGTCTCAGTATGTTTTTGTGTGTTATAAACAAGCAGTTACAGAGCTTATATTACTTTGCAGATAATCACAGATGAAGTAAAGAAGAGACTTACTAAGTTTATGTTTACCTATCAAACAGAGCATCTGTTGTCTGCAGCCTTAACCTCTTATTACGCAATCAGGTAAGGCTGCATTGTACACA